CTTCCCAAGCGGCGCACTATAGCAGTGCGCCACCGGGCCGGCCCTGCATTAGTTTTTATGGGCAGAAATTTGAAAGATCCCTTTGTAATACAGACCCTACTTGAGTGATAGTTGTATTGTTGGAGATAGGAAGAGAAGGCAGCTACAAGCTGCCATCTCATTTGCTCTGTATCTAACTTACTTTAGTTCTTTTCTTGTGAAAACCAGAGTTGAGTAATCCTAAAGAAACTGAGGACTTGGTATTTACATTGAAAAAAATTTCTGTACAATGTTAGTGGTTATTGAAATGAGCAAGGCATAATAAGCAATGGTTTGTGGAATCTTAACAGGTATCATCATATATAAATATTTCTCTACCTAGTGATCTCTTACTAGCAAAATCTGTTTTAGGTAAAACAAAACCAAACAGAAACCTTCATTAAAATTCACAGGGTGTCTCTCAGGCATGACTCACGTCCTCATCCCTGTTTCAGTCTTGCTTTGGAAGATTTGGTGCTAGGTATATGAGAGTCTTTCATTAAAGTGGCAGAAATACAAGAGTATTTTGATTTTAGGTAAACACAAAAAATTAAATGTTCAGCAATTTTAATGAAATTTTTATTAATGAATTCTTTCCTTTATTTTTGTTAAAAGTAATACCTCCGCCAACAAAGGAGTGTTTTTTATTCATTAGAAAAGGAAACATTTTTGTTTTATCCCTCCCCAGTGTTCTGAATGAATTCATTTATAGCAATGACTCCTAGCCTTTTCCCACCAAAACCTTAAAGGAAGAAAGAGATTTAAAATATATGGAAACTCTTTGTAGAAGTAATGCTATTCTTATATCACAATAACAAAATAACTTCTTAATGTTTAGCCTGTGTATATGGTGTCTCTCTATTCATTTCTTACCTCTACTTTGCAACTCGTAAGTCCAGACAAGAAGCAAAGGACAGTGCCAGCTCCATGGCCATTGTCCTCAGCACCTGGTGCAGTGCTGATCCAGGAGCCCCACAGCCCCTTTTGAACACCTGCACTCCATAAGTGTTTCACTCGGAGTTTGGATGTCCTCTTTTCTGCGTATCCTTCCTAACCTGTGATCCCCTCAGTAGTGCGAGGTTGGCATAGGTTACTGAGAAAGTACTGTTCATCCCAAAGTGGTTTCTGCTAAAAGGCAGATAATATAGGAAAGCCTTTGGTTTCCTGCAGAATGCTTGCTAGTTATCTTTTATGTCACTTTAAATGAATTGATTTGGCAAACTGTGTGTTTCTGTCTCCAGTTGATTATTGTCCTTGAATTTTTGATCATTAGGCACATAAAATATTTATGAGTATCTATTCTGATTTGCAAAGCTATTTGTTTCTGCCAATTAGATATTTAAATTTCAGGATGATAGCTGCAAAAATCTTTTTTTCCACCTATGTTTACTGAAAGATAGTTATTCCCATGTTGTGTTTGTTACAAAGTCCTCCTACTCTTTCTCCTCCATTCTTGTGATCCATCCCTTAGATGAAAATACTCTGGGGTTCTCAGTGAAAGAATTTTGCTACTTTATCATCAGGCCAAGAAGATATTTAGCTCTAAACCATATTCAATTCATCCTTCCTGTATTCACGGCCTCTAGAGTACTAGATTTCTGGGGTTACACCTGGCTTAACTATGTTTGAGGAATTGTGGGTCTTATACTTTCATTTCAAATGTTGATTTAGTTTAATGAGCAGTTTAACTAGATTATTTATTGTTGAAATTGACTTGCGTCCTTTTTTTTTTTAGGTGTAGTACAGTGAATAGCCGATTAGCAGCCTATGAGGTCCTTGTGATGTTGGCTGATAGTTCACCTTCAAATCTTCAAATTATTATAAAAGAACTACTTTCTATGCATCATCAGCCTGACCCTGCTCTTACAAAGGAATTTGATGTAAGTCTTCTAGACCTTGATGCACTTAATTTTTTTAGAATGATCTCTTAAATGTATAATATTATAATTTTGCATTCTTTTAACCACAAAGAAGTCAGTATTATTCTTTTGCTTGCTGTGTTCACATACTCAAATCAACTATAAGCTGTAGTATTACACAAATGCACTATAGTATACTACGAAATGGTACCCTTTTAATCAAAGAGGAAAGGCATTTTCAAGTTGGTTGATAGTTATTCTCAATAAAAAGCAGTATTCCAACCTATGTTAACTTTGCGCTTGGCACAGTGCCAGGCACTAGAGATACAAAGTCAAATAAACATTGGCTCTGTCACAGCACAGTCTGTGTTCAGTTAAATTCAACAAAGATTTGTTGAGTTTACCATGCACTAAGAGGAATGTTAGGTTTTTAGAGCTCAAAAATGAAAATATCCCAGCCCTCAAGGTCAGTATATAGTGGAAGAATCAGAACCATAAGCAGATAATTTCAGTGTAATGTGATACAGTACGGATAGAGGTATGTCCTGAATGCTCTGCTAAGCCAGAGAGACACTTCAGCACCAGCTGGTGGGGTCTTAGAAGGCTTCTTAGAGAAGATGAAACTTAAAATAGAACCATAGAGACTAGTGAGCCAATTGAAGCAAGATGGGAAGGTCACTCCATTCCAGCAATGAGAAGAATATGAGCAAAGCTATGGAGCCATGAAATAGTTCAGTATACGTTGGGATCTGCAAGAGGGAGATAAGTTGCAGGTGCACTGGAATACCAGATTGGGGTGGGAGGATGCTTTTAAAGCTGCGTTTGCATTCTCCTCTAACATCATAGAAACTCAGACCTACCATTTAGATGCCTGAGCTAAGTGTTACACAACATGTAAGTTAGACAGGAAGGGAAGTGGGGACAGGTGACATAGTACTTGGAAAGACTTAGGAATGTGAGAGCTGGGTTGGGAACTGTTTTGTTATTAAAACAGTTAGTTGTAATGCTTTAGTTTATAATGCTTATTTTATGCTGTGCTTAAATAAATGCATGTAATGATATTTCATATTTAAGTGAACTTTTTAAATTTTTTCATGTCAAAGATTACACCAGCATAATGAAGAAAATATTTGTCTTAGATAAATGCTTATATTTTTAGCACTGTTATGAGCTAGTTTTTCTTATTTTGTAGCATTCTTTTTTTCCTTTTAATCCATGCTTTGGACTACAAATAAACTTCATTGTTAATTAGATCTTAGAAATCACCCTGCTCTAAGTTTATATCTGATGTTAATGAAAAGTATGTAACACTTAGAAATTTCTTGTCCAAAAAAGCTACAGGTTTTTGTTGTCTGGTTGGTTATTACATGGATGCAGATACTTAATATGTGCAGATAACATGATTCTGGTCATGGCATAAGAACCAAGATCCTGCTATAATAGCATTTCAGAGTATCTAATTACTATATTATTTTTCAATTGGAAAAGTGCCATGTTGAACTTTATCTAAGATGCCTTTTCTGGATTGTTTCCACCCAGAAAAGTACTGTACTGGGATCTACATTATTTCAAAATATCTGTAAGTAAGTGGCAGGATATTTACCTATTTATTTAATAGTATGCTTATTAGAAGAAGTTTAATATAAGAATGTTACCTTCTCTAAAAGGAAGGAAATGAATATGAACCTTCCTTAACCATCCAGACCAGTCAGGAGTCTTCATGGTAAACACTATTCCTATAGTAGAACCTATTCCTTTTTTTCAGACTACCACCTCAATTTGTAAATATAGTATATTTACTTGACTAATGCCTGTTTACCCTACTAGACTGTACGCTTCTTGAGATCAGGGACCATGCACATTTCTGTTCTCTCTTATGTCCCTGGCACAGTGCCTGGCACATAGTAGGCCCTTAATAAATATTTGTTGAATGGTAATCAAGTGACTGAGTGCATGACTACATAAGTGGATAAACAAATAAACATCTTCTATAGGACAAGCACTTTGTGCATGAAAAAGAAATATTAAGTTAGTAGTATTTTGTAATTTATTAACATTTGCAGAGTGCTTCATGAACACAGGTGTTTCTAGCATGACTTTCATAACACGCTGGATGGATAAATCTATGAGTATGTTTCTTTCTCCTCTCAGACATCCTGTGTAGCTATAGTGGAAATGTGCCCATGGCAGAGATGCTAATTCTCTTCCTCTGCTGTTTCTGTTCCTATCTTTCCCAGTACCTTCCCCCAGTGGATAGCAGGTCCAGTTCAGGGTTTGTGGGGCTGAGGAATGGTGGTGCTACTTGTTACATGAATGCAGTCTTCCAGCAGCTGTATATGCAACCTGGGCTCCCTGAGGTGATTTCCTTTCTCTGTCTTGTTTGGTATGATAAATAATGTAATGCCTAAAAACTGTTCCATACTTCTTTCTTGCTTTTTGGGTTTGCTAAAACTAGACATAACTAGAGATTCTTTAGTAGCTTATAAAATTCATATAGACATGTTGTTCATAGTCACACATTTTAAAAAATCTGCTGTCATGGTATGCTGCCTATATGACAGATGGACTTGACCTAATGTGATTTTTGAACTCCAAAGTTCTCAAATTCTATTCCATAAAATTACTAACATTTTATTATTTTAGAAATATGTAGGCTCTATCTTCAGCACTTTAAGTAGTAGCTTATGATGTGGCGGTCCATTTTGAGAATATTCCATGTGTATCATGTTGCAGTTTTTTCTTGTAAAGATCTTGGTATTATTATTAGTTCGAGATTTTCATAATCAAATGGAGGCTCAAAGAGATGATTTGTTCGTAATTACACCAGCTAAGAAGTATTGAAGCTCAATATATGCATAGTTGCAGCCACATCAAAACATAGACAGCATTCTAAAAAAGCAGTGTGCGTACTCATATGTAAATATGTCAAAGTTTCCTATGAAGTGTTAAGTATTTCTAACTTAATACATTTTTTTTCTTTTTAGTCATTACTCTCAGTAGATGATGACACAGACAATCCAGACGATAGTGTATTTTACCAAGTGCAGTCTCTCTTTGGCCATTTGATGGAAAGCAAGCTGCAGTATTACGTACCTGAGAACTTTTGGAAGGTATTTCACCCTTTAAAAATTTTTTTTAATTTTTCAATTAAAAGATGTTAGTTATTTGGGTTTGGCTACATTCTTTCTCTAGTGATAATGGTTTCTTATCTATATTAACTCTAGACTAATCCCGTTGCCAAGAACCTATAAAAGAATTGGGTGTACTGTTCTTCTTGAAATTGTTACTTGGTTTCAAATAATTGGAATTTTGACATTAGTTATTCATAATTCCTAGGAATTTGCTAATCTTAATTATTTTGAATATTTCTCATGATTCTTTATTTTAGCTCTTTATTTGTTCAAATCATTTCTCTGAACCTGTGCCAATTTCCCTAATGCCTTTAAATAAAGAACATTCTTTTTTTGATGTTGCTTTAGTATGCCTCATATAATGGAAGACTGCCTTATGTTTTCTACCATAGGTTGGGTACTTTCAAAGAGAGAAACTCTTTGTGCCATGGCCATAGTCCTCACCCCATACCTACCTCTGGTTTCCGAGGCTTGTTATGATTACAAGGGGACCAGGGGAGTTAGTATGCCTCATATAATGGAAGACTGCCTTATGTTTTCTACCATAGGTTGGGTACTTTCAAAGAGAGAAACTCTTTGTGCCATGGCCATACTCCTCACCCCATACCTACCTCTGGTTTCCGAGGCTTGTTATGATTACAAGGGGACCAGGGGAAAGCAGAGATGGCAGTGTACAAGCTAGTCTCACTTCAGTAAAAACTTCCACATCCTAATAGTGAACTTGGTGTTTAGAAGCATTTAAGTGCTCTTTCACTTCTTTTCTACCATATTTGGAAATTGCTACTTTTCCTTTAAAAACATATGTAATTCTTATTAACATAGATTTTCAAGATGTGGAACAAAGAACTTTATGTGAGAGAACAGCAGGATGCATATGAATTCTTTACTAGTCTCATTGATCAGATGGATGAATATCTCAAGGTAATAAAATTTTTCTTTACCTTTAACTCTCTCAAACTATAGTATGAGAACAGTGTTTTAGGATTTGGGATTACTGTGAAACTGACAAATCAGTAAGTGATCATCTTCAGCATCACAACTGTTGATTTATTTCTTCTGGGTTTAAACATCAATACATGCACAGATCACTAGAATTATATATTAATTCATCTAATACTCAATAACATATGTAATTCTTAATATGTACTACATCATAATAACCATTTATACCTCCATATTCTTACTGTGTATCTATTGAAGTAATCTGTCCTCAAAGGAGTGCTGCAGTCACCTGTGACCTGATGGCCTGTGCAGAGCAGCCTTGGAACTCAGAGAGCCCTCTAGCAAAGGGGTCAAAGGGGCCAGATTAAAAAGTTATTTGTGACTATCCCTGCCAGCATTGTTGGCCTCTCATCAATAGGCACAATTTATCCATTCCTTTTTTTAAAATAACCTATAAGTGTATAACATTCTATCCACAAGAAAAAAGAAAAGATTGTAGAGTGTTGCTGCTAACTTGGTAATTGTGGCACAGGCGACGGATTCATAATCCTCATGGAGGATGCTCTTTTCAGTCAGCCCTGACAGACCCATCTCCTCCTCCCCTTCTGATGGTTTGTGTTACTCTGACAGTCGCTCTAATGATGGGCTGTTAGCCTCTGTTCCCAGCTGAAACTACCAAAATGACTCATTTTATTTTGGAGGTTAGATTGAAATCTGTGTTTTAGCTTAGCTCTAAATAAAATTCATTATGAATAACCTATATGTTCTGGGGGCATCCATTAAAATTTTAATTTTTTATTCCAACAGAAAATGGGGAGAGACCAAATTTTTAAGAATACTTTTCAGGGCATCTATTCTGATCAGAAGATCTGTAAAGACTGTCCACACAGGTTAGTGAAGTATCACTGACACACAAAAAATGATGATGATCACTTTTATATGATTTTGCTAGTATGTTACGAATTTTATATTTGTTGAAATACAGATATTTCTCTCAATAGATTCATAAATATTTAATGAATTATATTTTTTTGGTTTCCATTTCTAAATTTTGTGCCCTTGAGAAAACATGAGGGTACTTCAAAAAGTTTGTGGAAAGATTTGTATTATATTTCAGTACTGTTTTTCCATGAACTTTTTGAAGTCCTTATATTTGTTGAAATTCATAATTTTAAGCATTTCTGAATTGTCACAAATTGGTGTTAGTTTTAAAAGTTTGAGAGAAAGCATGTGTTAATTTCACTGATTATGAATGTAGTTCTATGTTTAAGCTCAGGTATCGTGATAATTTCAAAGGTTTTAAATTCCAGCATTGATCATGGGTTTTCTATTATTTCCTAATCAGATATGAGCGTGAGGAAGCTTTCATGGCTCTCAATCTAGGAGTTACTTCTTGTCAGAGTTTGGAAATTTCTTTGGACCAGTTTGTTAGAGGGGAAGTTCTAGAAGGAAGTAATGCATACTACTGTGAAAAGTGTAAAGAAAAGGTATTACGTTTTCCGTTTTTAAAAAACACAATTAATTTGTTATTCATTTACTGTCTTTGGTTTATGCAAAATGAATATTAAATTCCTGTTGTTACTTTCATTATATTATGTCATTACTTGTTTTCATATAAGTGGGAAAGATCTTTGCATTAGTTACTTTGCTGTTTTATTTTCTCCATGGAGATAATTGGTTTTTGCTTTTCTTCAGAGAATAACAGTGAAAAGGACCTGTATTAAGTGTTTGCCTAGTGTCTTGGTAATTCACCTAATGAGATTTGGATTTGACTGGGAGAGTGGACGCTCCATTAAATATGATGAGCAAATAAGGGTAACTTTTTTCTTCCTGAAATTTCCCGCAGCCATTAACCTTACTCCCTTTTTCATGTTTCCCTTCTTCTATTTTCAAATTTCATCTACTTTGTGAAAGACTGTGGTCTCAGCATTATGAGGAGTACACAGCCCCTTGTTCTAAGCAGCTGCTGCTAGTGGAACAGGCAGATCTGTAAGCAATAACCTTTATTCCTAGAAGGCATCCTAGCGATAGCTGTGAACTAAAACCCTTTCTTTAATGCTCAAACCAGAAGCTGCTTTTATTTTCCCAGATTTTGTAGTTGAATTGAGATTTTGTAGTTGAATTGGAGAGGTAGTTCATCCTAGCTTAAATTAGGGAATCTCATTTTCTTATTTGTATCTTACTTAAGTGGGTACTACTGTGTAAATTACTAATCAATAGTAATGTGGTCTTTTTGCTTTTACCTAGTTTCCCTGGATGCTAAACATGGAGCCTTACACAGTTTCAGGAATGGCTCGCCAGGATTCATCTTCTGAAGTTGGTGAAAATGGGCGAAGTATGGATCAGGGAGGTGGAGGATCCCCACGAAAAAAAGTTGCCCTCACAGAAAACTATGAGCTTGTCGGTGTCATTGTACACAGTGGGCAGGCACATGCAGGCCACTACTATTCCTTCATTAAGGACAGGCGGTAAGGGTTTCCTGAGGCAGGGCTCACTCACTGTGCTCTAACGTAGTCTCTCCTATGCTCTCCTGACCCTACTTCATCATCCACACTTAGCATTACGGCGCAAAGGAACTCTTGCATTGCTCTTTGGTCTTACTTCATTTTGCACTTTTAAAGTTTGGTGTAACTGTTCTTACCCCTTCAATTTGAAAAGTTGTTTTAGAAATTGAAACAACCGTTGCTACATTTTTCTTAGATATTTTCAAATGCTTTTGCAGACAATAAATAAGTGCTAGAAATGAGGATGTCTGTTTTTTAACCTCATCTGATCTCTGGGCTCTAGGGGCTGTGGAAAAGGAAAGTGGTATAAATTTAATGATACAGTTATAGAAGAATTTGACCTAAATGATGAGACCCTGGAGTATGAATGCTTTGGAGGAGAGTATAGACCAAAAGTTTATGATCAAAGTAAGTATTTTCAAGTGGATATTTCCTATTCATTTTATTTTTTTAATATATAGTTTTTTATCAAATTTGGGAGTAGTATTCTTTATAGGAAAATATAAATAAATTTTATTCTTCCTATAGTACTGCTGCTCTAGCTATAGAACCAGAAACTCTTTGGTAACCAAAATGAAAATGTTCAAGCAGCTTATAAAAAAGGTTTTTTTAGTAATTCCGTACAACATCTTTGGGTGATAGGTGGGAGAGGGGGAGTAAAAGAGGATGAAATGAATATCAAAGAGAAACTAATGAATATAGAATTTCATCTTTAAAATAGTTTCAAAAGAAGTAGTTGTCCACTAAAAGTTTCAGATTTTCTTTTCACTTACGTAGAGGTATGGTTAGAAAAGACATTTCTAGTATCTGTGCTTTCAAAACCATATTTATTATGTAATGTGACACAGGAGTCTTTCCCTCCACAACCCGTACCCCAGAAAAAGAAACGTATGAGGACAAGTACATCACAAAACCCAATCAGAATTTGGTATTTGAAAAAATCATATTGCAGAGAGCTTGGCATTTCTAAAACCTAATTTTGAAATCTTCTAGGGGCATTTCTAAATTTCTACTTGAATTGTAGTTACTAGAGACTGGGGAGAGGACAGGGAAGAAGGGTTAGGTAGAGGTTGGGTAATGGACACAAAATTATAGCTAGATAGGAAAAATAAGTTCTAGTGGTATACAGTAGTGCTAGGCAACTTTACTTAACAATAATTTATTCTATGTTCTCAAATGGCTGGGAGGAGATCAGGTGTTATCACAAAGAAATGATATGGTTTTATAATGATGAATATGCTAATTACCTTGTTTTGATCATCACACACTGTGTGCATGTATTGGAATATAATTGAACCCCATGAATATGTACAATCAATATGTCTCTATTAAAAATAAATTCATTTAAAATAAAAAAATTAGAAATAAAATAAATTTCAACTTGTATTTAATCCAATATATTAAGTTTTGGTACCATGCCATTGTAGTCATGCATCTGATGGTGATAACTTGTAAGGGTTGAATGTAGTATCGTTACAAAAATTTACCTAGATTTGGCCGATCTTTGTAGAAATGGTTAAGTGAGGCCAATTACAATGTCATCCTATGCCACAGAACATATTTTTAAATGTTACTTGGCTTTTGCTTAAATTTAGATTTCTCTAGGCTATTTACCTTCTTTCCGTTACTTCATTATCATATAGCTCTCTTATTCCCTGTACCCCCTCATATCACCTCCCAAATGAGCAAGCTGTTTTAGTTCGAGAACTGAAATACCCTGACTTCCATTCTAAGTAGTTCTCTAAAATGACCCTCATTCACCTTTGCATTTAACAAATTTAGTAAGTAGTTACTGGCTGGATTTATGGGCTCTTTGTTTTAAATTGTCAAGGAAAGAAAAACTTTTTTATTTACAAAGACTTCTTACTTAATGTCTTATTTTCAAGCAAACCCATATACTGATGTTCGCCGAAGATACTGGAATGCCTATATGCTCTTCTACCAAAGGGTGTCTGATCAAAACTCCCCAGTATTACCAAAGAAAAGTCGTGTCAGCGTTGTACGGCAGGAAGCTGAGGACCTCTCTCTGTAAGTTTCTTTACCATGTAATTTGCTGCATGGTTTCAGTAAGTGATATTGTCATCTTTGAAAATATACTATAAGCTAGAAAGAAATCCTAAAAAGAATTCTAAAAAGAAAAGAAATAAGTCCCTTTTATTTCTTGTTGCTCCCTGGTCATTATTTCCTTAGCAAGAAGTTATTATGCATTTAAAAACATGCATGTAAGTAATTTCATTCTAAAACTGAGATTTTTTTGTCAATCTAGAATTGAGGTGTTTTTGTTTTTAATTTTGGCAGCATTTATTGAATACGAGTGGTCTTCAAAAAGTTCATGTAAATATTTATATTATCTTTTAATTTCATTATTCCATGAATTCTTCCTCGCACACTTGATATCCAAACCATAGTACTGTGCCAACACTGTCCAAAAGTTTGTTTTTTTTAAAAAAAGGCCCTGTTGTCAGTGAATTTACCTTTTAATATATTGGATCAGGAAATACAATTTATTTTTAAATCTGTTACCCTGTTTATGTGAATTTGGCAAGTTTTAATAACTACTAAGACCATAGCCACTTTATACTAGACAAACAATTTTCTGATTCATCTCTTAGGTCAGCTCCATCTTCCCCAGAAATTTCACCTCAGTCCTCTCCTCGGCCCCATAGGCCTAACAATGACCGGCTCTCTCTTTTAACCAAGCTGGTTAAAAAAGGCGAGAAGAAAGGACTATTTGTGGAGAAAATGCCTGTTCGAATATACCAGGTAAGGACCGTGTAAAAAATTCTAAGGGAGAAAAAATCTATATAAATGTCAAAGTCCATCAGTAGGTCCAGAATACTCCTGCTGGCCTTCTTCTGGGTTAGTTGTACCTCTAGTGCCATATAATCTTACCCACCCTGTCTCATGAATTTCATGCCAGGTTGCAGAGGCGGCCATATAGCTAGGACCACAGAGCGGTAAGAACACAAATAAGAATACACACCCAGGATTGGCCAGCACTGTCACTGACCTGCTGTGTGCTTGTGGGATGTCACAAATAAACAGAGGGGAGGGAGTAGGCAGTAAAGAAACACATTGCTGAAATTAACTTGTCTAGAGAGGAAAACAAGTTAAGGCTCATGACCTTCGGTAAGGCTGATGTGACAATGATGACCACTGTTCATTGAATACCTGCTCTGTGCTACGTGCTTTAAACAAATCTCTAATTCTTAAAAGACTCTTGTGGAATAGCAGGTTTTATTACCATTTTTCAGATGGAAAACTCAGGCTCAGAAAAAGAGAGATGACCTGCTAGTGTCACAGAGCAAGGATTTAAATTCAGAACTGTCCAACTACCCAATGCAGATTTATACATTAAATAATCAAGAGCTAAGTAGCCAGAGAATTTAAGAATTATGGGCCGGCCCGGTGGCGCACTGCTATAGTGCACCGCTTGGGAGCGTGGTGGCGCTCCCGCCGAGGGTTCGGATCCCACATACAGACCGGTTCCCGCTCACTGGCTGAGCGAGGCGTGGGAGCAACACCGAGGGTTGCGATCCCGTTGCCGGTCCTGGTCCGGTACGGGGGCGACACTGAGGGTTGCGATCCGTTGCCAGACACGGAAAAAGACAAAAAGGAAAAAAAAAAAGAATTAAATTAAATCAGAGAATTTAAGAAAAAGGTGGAGTCTTTCATTATAAAAGAGAAGCCACCTGCTACAAGGGAAGCATGGAGTTAATTGTACTGGGAAAGCTCTTTGTCCCTTCTGTCAGCTTGGAACTCGCTTGTCCTTCACATGGTGATTTTCCTGAATTTCACAAAAGGATTTGGTTTAAAGAATAATAGTTCACCCTTTTACAGCATCTTACATTTGAAAGGAAGATTTTGTCTCTCCTTTAAAATTAAAATTTTTAAATTCAATTTTTAAATTGAGTTTTAAAATTCAAAGCTTGAGAGAAGGGAATTATAAATCATAATTCACTTTTTATAAACCCTTTTTACCTAAATATATCTGTATAGATATCCTCCATGTATTGAATATTTTACTCTGTGTCTTAAAAATAATTACTAATTTTCCTTTATAGATGGTGAGAGATGAAAACCTCAAGTTCATGAAGAATAGAGATGTGTACAGTAGTGATTATTTCAGTTTTGTTTTGTCTTTAGCTTCATTGAATGCTGTAAGTAGCTAGTTGGATTGTTACTAAAGAACTAAGAAAGGATTATGGTTAAATATCTGAGCTAAAGCATTCAGTGACTCATCCTCATTCTCACTTGTTAGCATTCAGATTAGATGCAAAAAAAGTTTCCCACAATGTGTCACTTATTGGGTGATATTAAAATACAGGAAGCATTCTGAATGTGTAACATAGATTGTAAGTGGGTATGGGTTTCAACATACTGGCTTTTTTAAGTGCCCTTATGTAGATTTTATAAAGAATCTAATAGTAGCTCTGAGATCTAATAGTAGCTCTGAGATCGAGTAGCAGTGAGGTCACATCAATGGATCACGGGCTTTGTGGAAAGTAATTTTTCCTAATTTGTAATCAGATATTATCAGACTCAAGATTAACTTTCAAGTACTTCTTTTTCTTGAGTACCATGATTATAATTTACTGGTCAGGGGAAAAAAGTGTTCTTAGTCTTTTGATTACTTAACATCTTGTGGTCTGCAGGCTCTGTTTTGAGAGGACTTCCTGAAAAAAATTAAGAGGATGTTTTTTCTTAACCTTTTTAGAATTTAAATGGAGCATTTCCTATAATGAACTGGCTAGATTTTTCTAATTAGTGTTAAACTTTATCATGTGTGTCATTATTTAGTTCATAACAATGTATAATAATCTATAAAACATCTGTGAAAGAATCCTCTTTTTTCTCCCTCTCTCTTAGACTAAATTAAAGCATCCATATTATCCTTGCATGGCAAAGGTGAGCTTACAGCTTGCCATTCAGTTCCTTTTTCAAACTTATCTACGGACAAAGAAAAAACTCAGGTGAGGAGTGATGTGTTTTGATAGTCTGTGACAAAAGACACTGGTTAATTCAATTAAAGTTAATTTACAAATTCAGCTTTTCAAAATATTGTCAAGGCAACTGCCTAATATACTCAGATGACTAAGACATGGTCTCTATCTTTAAGAAATTTCTAATCTAATGAGAAGAATAGATAAAACAAAGGAGATAACTGAGGGAAGGCATAAATTCTGTACATCGGTGGGAATTGGGCAAAATAATATTCAGTTATGGAGATTAGAGTAGGCTTTAAAGACATTGATGTTATCAGAGGATTTTGAAGGGTAAAAAGAGAGAAACCCAGAGGAGTCATTCTACGTGGAAAGGAAAAACCTGAGTAATTAACAAGAATTGCCTATGGAACTGTGAATGACTAATTGTGTTTTACTAGTACAGTCATGCGCTTAATGATGGAGATACGTTCTGAGAAATGCATTGTTAGGTGATTTCATTGTGTGAATGTCCTAGAGTGCACTTACACAAACCTAGGTGGTATAGCCTGTTACACACCTAAGCTGTTGCTATAACCGTTGTCATATATGCAGTCCATAGTTGAGCAAAATGTCATTATGCTGTGCATGACTGTACATATAAGGGACTCATTTGAGTTGAGACTGAACGTTGGGTTTGAAACTCATTGAGTGCCCTGAGTGCCAGAGTAGGGAGTTTGGGCTTTGTTCAGTGGGAGATCATGGAAGGTTTTTGGACAGGAAAGTATGTTCAGAGTGTTGCCTTAGAAGCTCTAGACATTGACTACATCTTATACGTCATTGGTTTTTATCTTCAGCCCCATGGGAGATCATGGAAGGTTTTCGGACAGGAAAGTATGTTCAGAGTGATGCCTTAGAAGCTCTAGACATTGACTACATCTTATACGTCATTGGTTTTTATCTTCAGCCCCTAGTAAGGTGCTTGACACATTATAGGCTCTAGGTAAATAGTTGTTTTGTGAATAAATGAGTGAAGGATGAAGAGTAGTTGAGCAGTGGTTGGTAGGACATACCTAGAGTAAGGGGAGACTCAGTGAGGAGACCAGCTAGAGTTAGACCATTGATGTTCTCAGTGTTTTCTCCCACCAGCGTAGGAAGCTTCTCCAAGTATGGAGAGGTTTTTGGACAGACTTTGCAGTCAAGAAACTCTTAAGAAGAAAACAGTAAAATGGCAACTCTGTTTTTATGTGTAATAATCAAAGATAGATTAAGTAATCTCAATCTTTATTTTTCACTTGAAAAAGAAGAAATAGTGTGTTTCTTTTAATGTCTGGCATGGGATTGACTAAAGAAATTTAGTTCATTGCCTTTATTTGTGAATGTTGCTCATGCTGATTGCACATTGCGCACTGTTTCCATTTTGCTTATATTTACCATTTTTGGGTATTGGGGGTCTTAAGGAGAGTGGTGTGAGGTCATGGGTGGTATACTCATGACACCTGGTTTTTGCTTGAATATTTTTATTCCATAAAGTAGGACATTAATGGTCATAGCAATAAAGTATAAAAATGTCTATGTAAGCTATTCTGAAAGCGGGCGTTTTGTAAGTGTAAATTAATTGAGCAAAGCAAAATGGTATAGGTCAGGCCTTTTTTTTTTTTTTTCCCTTTTTGTCTTTTTTACTGACCGGTAACGGGATTGCAACCCTCGGTGTTGCGCCCGCACCGCGCTCAGCCAGTGAGTGGGAACCGGTCTCCACATGGGATCCGAACCCTCGGCGGGAGCGCCACCGCACTCCCAAGTGGCGCACTCTCTAGTGCGCCACCGGGCCGGCCCAGGTCAGGCCTTTTTTTTCAATTGAAGTTATTTGATGAAGATGCAGAAGATAAAAGTTTCAGACTAAGCTTTTTCATACATTTTTTCTCAGGGGAAGGGAAGAAGAGTCACACCACACTAACCAAAGAGTGCAAAGCATTGGCTTCTGGGGTACATTGAGCCATGTTAGTTGGCAGTCATTAAGTATTTAACTTATCCCTCCACCATAGGTAGGTAGGTAGATAGGTAGATAGCTAGGAGATAAGTATTTAACTTATCCCTCCTACTGTAGGTAGGTAGGTAAGTAAGTAGGTAGGTAGGTAGGTAGATAGATAATAGGTAGGTAGTAGGTAGGTAGGGAGATGGATAGATAGATAGTAGGTAGGTAGGTAGGTAGGTAGGTAGGTAGGTAGGTAGGTAGGTAGGTAGGTAGGTAGGTAGGTAGGTAGGTAGGTAGGTAGGTAGGTAGGTAGGTAGGTAGGTAGGTAGATAGATAGATAGATAGTAGGTAGGTAGGTAGATAGATAGATAATAGGTAGGTAGTAGGTAGGTAGGGAGATGGATAGATAGATAGATAGTAGGTAGGTAGGTAGATAGGTAGGTAGGTAGGTAGGTCATTACAGTGTCATAAAATCATCATCCATTTGGAAGGAACATAGCAAATATTTTGTTCATTTTCTTATATTCAAGCGGCTTGCTCTTAAAATATCTCTAGAGAAACTCTGTAATTTCCTTTGGTAATATGCTTTGGCTTCTTATATTCCTAATGGTCAGGAATCCCAGTGAATTACCTAATTTAAATTCTTCCTGGTAGAGTTGATTGTATTTTTTTGTCTCTTCCTTAATGAGGACCTATTACTCATTTCTGTCAATTGCTATGATTTCATATGTTTAAAGAATTAATGATCTCTTTTCTCTGATTTCTTTAGAACTTTTAAGATATCTTAGTTATCATTGTTACAACTAAAATATAAATATATACTGCACTAATATTTTAGTAACTATAAATATGGAGAGGGTATTACCTTTTAGATCGGCCCCTTACTATAGTCCTTTTCTGGGCAATTTTTAAAATGTAACTATAATTGTAAAAACTTTAATTAAGTAGTAAATATTGCTTACAGATTGACGTAAGGAAATTAAAACTACTAACATGAAGGATACTTTACATCTTTTCAGAACTTTTTATTGTGGAAATTTTTAAATGTGCACAAAAGTAGACAAAAATAAGCCCTCTCCTATATACCCGTTCCCCATCTCATGTTGTCAGCATTTTGCTAGTCTTGTATTACCTGTCCCAACTCATACACACACACTCTCTCTCACACATTTATGCTTTTTTTTTAACCTCTGACGTATTCTAAAGTAAATTTCAGACTTTGTATAATTTTACTATAATGTCCCAACTCATACACACACACTCTCTCTCACACATTTATGCTTTTTTTTTTAACCTCTGACGTATTCTAAAGTAAATTTCAGACTTTGTATAATTTTACTATAAATTTTTCAGCATGTACCTCTAACAGGTAGTTTTTTAAAAATGTAAACACGTTATTATCACAGCAAACAAAATTAACAGTAATTTCTTTATATCATCTTATACCCAGTCCATGTTCAGATTTCCCCCCAGATGTCTCAGAAATATCATTTTACCATTGAGTTTGTACAAATCATGACCTAGCAGGGTGTACATATTGCCTTTGGTTTATATGTCTCTTAAGACTCTTTTTAAAAACCTTCAGTAGTTTCTTTGCTCCACCGCCCTCTTTTTTTGTCATGCCATTTATTTGAGGAGGAGACTGCCCATTTGTCCTGTAGAATTCCCCACATTCTGGATCTGTTTGCATTCTCTTGGTGCTTCCTGATGTGCTGTGATAGGAAATGTGCAGCACTCCCCAGACATATTCTTTCCAAAAGAATTGTACCTGAATCTGGTCAAGCCTCTAGAGCTAAATATTATGGGAATACTTGTTATCTTTTAAACTTTTTATAGTGGGCACTTACAACCTCAGTGGATTTTGAACAGAGCCATGTCTGTCTGGTTCAAATTAGGCAGCTGATGTGTAACATTAACAGTTACTGGAATGAGCAGGAGTGGCATCAGAGAGCTGCACTGGGCCTGCGAGTGAGTGCTAGAGCTCTCAGGAGAGTTGAACTGACGTCCTTGAGTAATTAATTTGTTTCTTGGATACTACGTGGGACCTGTGTTGGGAAGGTTGAGGTTACAGAAATCTATCTTGCTTTTTCACCCCGTATTTCTCTTTATTTTAGGATTTTCTTGTTGGAGTGCAGCGTGAGAGAAGTGCGAGTTGCCATGGCCACCATTCTTGAGAAAACCCTAGATAGTGCCTTGTTTTATCAGGATAAGGTCAGTCTCATTTTTTAAATTTTACTTATACATTCTATTTCATCAAGCGTTTTAAATTAAATAAGAGAACCTAGGATTAGAGTCTGGTAATTTTGCCACGTGAAACGCACCTTCTATGAACTGCCTTTCTGAAACATGCTAGGGTAGAAGACATTCTGTCCCTTCCTCCTCATATCCCAGTAATCAGGGTATGTTAGGAATTAGGTCTTCTTTGGTCTGCTTCAAGATTTTCTCTCTAGAACTCTCCCTTTAAAGAGTCCTCCCTGAAGAATTTATGTTAGACTTGTCTGAACTGAGACTAACCTGAGTCTAGGGTCTGAATCTACTCTGAACCAACAGACATTTCAAGCCACCCCTGGCTTTGTCTCTTTCCTCATGAGCTGTTTTCCTGATCTAACCCTGCAGTTGGCAGCCAAACCAGAGAGTGCCGTTCGTCCAGGGGCATTGGCCAAAATAGTTCCTTCATGGTCTCTATTGTTCCCTTATCTTTCTTCCTATTCCTGTGATTTTCTTCTTCCTAACCTTATTTTCTGCAGCATATTTTCTGGTTCATAATTCCACATACACACATGTTAAACCATGGTGTTTATTACAATCCTTGATTCCCAAAGATTTTAAGTCTTAGGGAAATAAATGACATATTGTAAATGTGGTTTTTCAATCTGTTATCAAGTCCTAGCACATACAGCAGTTACTTCCCAAGTTTGCTGTTTCAAACAGCTGACACTACATGGAAAACTTTGAAAAATGTTATTTTCAGAACAAATTGGCTGTTTATAAACATTGGCTGGAGGCAGTGTGTCTCAATGAATTAAACACGAATTCTAAGTATTGCTGCTTCAGGTTCAGATGTTGACTTTGCTATGCAACCTTAAGTAAGTCCTTTAAGGAGGAGGTTGATCCAGCTACAGTGTCTGGTACCCAAGCACTTAGTTCCTACAGCATTGCCTGACCCAGGATGTGCTGTTGGAGCAGACAAGCTCAGGAGCTTTGCTCAGTCCAGAGTGATGAAGAAGATCAAATATGCCCTTTAGGAAGGTCCTAGGAGAAGGCTGTCTTTCAATTCCAGGAATCATTAGGAAGTTGAGGTTTACCCTAAGGCAGTGGTTTTTGATCAGCTTAAATAGCAGAAGTTTTTCAAACAAAACCTTACCTGTATGTAGAATATATAAGACAGGTCATTGGGAGCTACATAGGACATTTTAAATATCATGTCTCTGAGGTGCCCCTGTAAAAGTTTACTAAGATGCGTCAAGAATCTTTAACATAAGGACCATCTCACTCTCCCCCTTCCTCCCATGTACCACCTCAAACAAAGGATAAGAGCAGGATTAGTGCAGTCTTCCTGCAGATGGAGTAAGGTCATAGCATAGCACCCGCCAAGCTCTAAAGGCAGGGCAGCAGGTGATGGAAAGGAAGGATGTGGGGGACCTAGCATGGAAGCCATTTGCCTCAGTAAATTCAATCTAATAGCCAACTTATGTATTTTCATGTCTATTTTTCCCCATAATGAAAATGGTGCCTCTTGCCACCCACCTTATATTGTAAAGTACTTTGAAAACGAAGTGCTATGTAAATGCTACATTTTACTGTACTAATTTTTATAATGGATGTGAGAGGATGTTTGGGAATATTTCAGAAATCTATGAATACCCTCTACAGAGGAAACAAACTAAGAAGAATAGTAAGCCTGGTCTTAATTCTCAGAGCACAGATGAATTTCTAGGGACTTATCCAAAGACAGTGGGGTGGGAGGGAAAGAAGAAGCAATGTCATAACCAAAATGGTCTCTAAACAAATAAAAATGTTTTTCAAAGCTTTCCATGAGGCGTCAGCGGGCTCTCAAGTAAGTTCCCAGTTGAGTCGACATCACCGTTGTCATTCTGTCAGGCTGTTGCTCTCCATTCTCTCCATCGGCTTGATCTCTAGCCCTTATGCCTGTGTCTGTGTTTTTTATTCTTTGCATCTGTGAGTATGTGAAGAGTAGCATAGTGGAGGGAGGGATTCAGAAATATGTCTCCTAAACACCCTGCCTTTTTTTTAAGAGAGAGAAATTGGCTCTGGAGAAAATGTGACTATTAGGCAGTAGAATCATGCCCTTGGCTATGAACTCTAGGAAATGAAATTAAGCTTTCCTTTTAATTATTACTAAGTGTACCAGTCTTTCCCTGGAAGGTAAAACTGATCATTCTGTTTTTGCTCTCAAAAGCATAAACCCATCACTGGATTGTATCAATCAGACTTTCCTTTTGTTCTTACGGTGGTTTACTTCAGATTACTCCTGTTGCAAATGTCTGTCTTATATTCTTTTTCTTTTCTTTTCTCTAACCAGTTAAAGAGCATTCATCAGTTACTGGAGGTACTGCTTGCTCTATTGGATAAAGATGTCCCAGAAAATTGTAAAAACTGTGCTCAGTACTTTTTCCTGTTCAACACTTTTGTACAAAAGGTAACTTTTTTTTTTCTAATATTCTTTCCTAATATAGCAGATTTATAGTCTAAAGAAATTATATACATGGAAAAATTTCACACTGATCAATATAACTTCTATATGATATGGTTTTATGAGTGTTTCTTCTTAAGAGTGTTAATTTGTGGATTATAGTACATGCAAGAATTCTAGTACAGGTAGGTGTAGTTACTCATTGAGAGTGGTAGACATCAGCATTAAAACTTGTGGCTGTGTTTAGTAGCCATTATGAAGTAATGTGAAGCTCAAGAGTTTTTTAAACTAGATTGTAACATGTACTTTGTAAATGTAAATTACAGCATTTAAAAATATATTGACTTCTTAAAACTTCTCATTTAGCTGTGTTTTTAAAACAAATTTTTGTCTGGATTGGAATATAATTTGTCATTCTCCTTATATTGTGACAGCAAGGTATTAGGGCTGCAGATCTTCTTCTGAGGCACTCAGCTCTGCGACACATGATCAGCTTTCTCCTAGGGGCCAATCGGCAGAACAATCAGGTACTGACTGCTCTCATATTCCTAGTGGGATGGTGTGGTTTCCATAGCCACTTTGTTTCTCTTTGTAGGTGATAAATATTTTTAATTTCTTAAGCATCCAGGTACTAACTAGCACTATGTAGATTTTAAAATTCTTTGGCGTTCACTTATTTTTACAACTTCCTCACATGCCTGAATCTAATAAATAACCAATGGAAATGAATGAGTAGTCATTCATTTGTATCAGTCAAAATTTGAAGTGTAAGTGTCACAGGACACTTACATAGTATCATAGTATCAGTCAAAATTTGAAGTGTAAGTGTCACAGGAAGGAAAGACAGGTTCTGACTGGGGGGTTTCAAAAGCCTTCAAGGAATAGGTGGTATTGGGGTCCTCCGCTTCTTCTCAGGGCTGTGAACAAAGCTGTTTTGGTGGTAGTTGGCTGTTTTAAGTCAGTTGCTGATAATAAGGCCATAATCCAAATGTGAAGTTGTATTGTTACATACTGAATGATGTTGGAGGTATAACACTCTTATGAAAGGGAATTTGTTTTATAAAAACAGAGTTGGATATATCCAAAAATCACTCTCTTGTTTGAAGTTCCTATATTGGTGTGTTTTTTCCATTAGTTATATTTCTTTTGTTTGATAGACTTGAAATACGTAAAATGTTAGCATGCAGTAATGTTGAGTACTATTTATGGAGCATTTACTATGTTCCAGGCACAGCTGGTCACTTTATGGTGGTATACTTTTGATACAGTTCAGTAAAATAGGCAGTTATGTCCCCATTCTTGGGCAAAAAATTAAAGCACGGAGATGTCAAGTAATTTGCTCAAAATCTCAAAGCCAACCCATTGGTGGAGCAGGGACTCAGACCTTGCTCTGGTGGTTTCCAAGCCAAAGAGAGCCTTTCCCCCATATGTAATGCGTTGTGTAGGCAGTGTCTTCCTTTCTTTGTTAAGGGAGACAGACTTGCCACTGAGGCCTCCTCTCAGCTTCCAGTCATTTCACCCTGCTGCTCTTACTCTAGAGCACTGAAAAACAAGTGCTGACACCATAGCATGCTCTGTGTTGATATTATGTTGAGATTTACAATAATCCTTCTTCATTTCAAGCTCTTCTATATCAGTGACTCTGTTGACACAGGTAAAAGATTTAAATTCACTGTAATTCAGCTGCACATATAATTAATATTTGCATTTATGCAGCACATTTTTATTTTTGAGAACATTTTCACTTTTAATATTTCATTTGGTCCTCGCATCCACGAAGGAGATAGAACAGGTAGTATTATCTCTGCCGTTGTACGAAGAGGTCAGATACCGTTATGGTTAAGATCTTGCCCACATTCGTACAGCACAGTGAGTAGCAGAGGCAGGCCAGCGCTTGAGTTTCCCCACTGTGTTGAGGTACAGGAAGACTACCTGGCACACTGTAAGCCCTCAGTACCTAAACTGAATACATGAATGGATTGGTTTTAAAATAGGAGTTAATATGTCTGATGGGGAGCCCTTTGAGCTAGCCTAAAACCTGTGACTTTTTTGTACTTTGACCTCTTCTACTATCAAGCATTGAGAAATAATTGTGGCCCAAAATATCATGAACCAGCAAATCCTCTCCTTTCCTTTTCAAGTTATTTCTAACCAAAACGCTAACATCAACTTTATCTTCTCTGATGACAGATACGTCGATGGAGTTCAGCACAAGCACGAGAGTTTGGGAATCTTCACAATACAGTGGCATTACTTGTTTTGCATTCAGATGTCTCTTCCCAAAGGAACGTTGGTAAGCTTTAATGTATCTTTAATACATCAGAAAAATGAAGAGAAAATTAATTTGTCTAGCGTGAAGAATAATAATGTTAGCAGTTAAATGGATATTACTTGTTTCTCATTTGGCTTTTTGACATTTGAGGAGCACTTAACATTTCTTTTTTAATTCATGTTCACCTTTACCTTATTTTACTAGTTTGTCACAAGAGAAAGTGAATCAATCATTTATCTGGGGGTAGGAGATATATAAGTATTAAGCAAACAACACTCTAGGATTAAAGGATAATTCAGAGTTCATTCACTGCTATAATTTGAACTGATGTAGTGGGGAAAATAGCCAAGGTATGGGTTGGAGACTCCTAGCTATGTGAACTTGACCAAGCCCCCTGACCTTTCTGATCCTCAATACAAAATGAAAATATTAAAAACATAACTCTCCATGTATAATAAGGATTAATGAGATAAATGTTAAAGTACATTGTAAAAACAAAGGGTATTCAGATGTAAATTATGTCATTGAGATATATTTGAATATAAGATATAGTTGGTAGCATTCCTTATTTTGTTACTCAGAACCGATAGCACAGTCATCATTTAATATAGCTAAGACACAGGCTGTCCTATATGATTATCCAACATCCCAACTTGTGCACGTACAATTTTTATACTGTTCCTAAGCCTTGTCACGACAGTACCACCACCAACAGTAATATAACAGAGCAGCTGAAATGTATTCAGTGTTTTCAGTGTCCTGTGCTTTTACGTGGTACTTAATATTTATTGCATTTAATCCTCACAGCAAACCAATGAGGGGTATTATCCCCTTTTATAGACGAGGAAACTAAGATATAGAGAGGTTTAGTATCTTGCCCAAGGTCTCACAGCTTACGTGGCATAGCAGCCAAAGTATGAGTGCAAGCGTCTGACACCAGAGGCTGTAGAAGGGTTTTTGTTTTGGGCGGGGTTTTTTTTGCAAGTCCAAGAGATCTATTTAGTACATCATGGTAACTATAGTTAATAATAATGTATTGTATTCTTTTTTTTTTTAAATTTGTAGTAAGGTTTTAATATCCTCTGGCCAGGAAGATCTAAGGAAACTAGATCAAAATCACAGGGTATCATTCTGATAAAGCAATTCCTATTGACTCTGTAAAGGGACATGAGAGGAGCACTTGGGTAGTTGTAAGGTAGTTTGCTTCCTAAATTCTGATTCATTCATCTAAAAAGACAAAACTACCTAAATTCATGAGCTCAGATAGTTTTGTAAAAGAAAATTATAGAATATTTGTTTTCATTTAGCAAATGAGATAACCCCATCCACATGGGTTGATTCTGCTTAGCATAAGTGATCTTGGCCATTATTTGGGGACAGTTTTTTGAGGAACAAAAGTGTCTTGTCCAATGTCTCTTCGGTGGCAACTTTGGGCATTTTTTACTATTTATATTTTTACGTCTCTGAAAGATTTTCTTGAGTGGGAGTCGTTAGGAGTCCACAGCTACATCTCAGGCAAGCATTGAAGGAAATAGGTAACGTCTTGTGCTGCTGCGTGTCTGTCTTCCCCGTTAGGCTGTGAGGGAAGGGGTGTAAGTACTCAGCAACCGTGTGTGTGAATCTTGGAGAGGCGCATTACCTGTGGACGTCTGTCTCAACACCAAGCGTAAAAGGTTTTGTTTTGTCTTTTGTTTCTTGGGTCTCCTAAAGCTCCCAGCGTATTCAAACATCGGCCGCCTATTAGCATTGCTCCCTCAAGTCCTCTGCTGCCCCTCCACGAGGAAGTAGAAGCCTTGCTGTTCTTGTCTGAAGGGAAACCTTACCTGCTAGAGGTATGCACTTGTTATTCTAAAGCCATTTTCTTTTTATTTTAGTTATTTTTTCCTATTTGAAGAAAAATGCCTTTTGTTGTTAGTTGTATTTTGCATGTTACTCTGATGAAGAGGAGTATTGTTAAGAGAAGAAATGATTCTTTCAGATTAGTTTCTCTTCTTATGTCTACGTCATAAAGAAATAATTAGTAGAAGGTTAAATTATTAGTCTTCTCTTCGACCAAGAACTGGATCTCTAGGTCCAGCTCAGCCACTTACCCCTCAGGCCCCAGGAGGAGATAAATGGCACTTCACCAATCAAAATTACTTGGGTTTATTATCAGAGGGTTTTGTTCCCATTCTCTTTTATGTGTCCCTGGTTCTGGAATACTACAACTCTAAAACACACGTGTTTTAAACCTCAGGAGTATGGATGTGGGCTTCTCACGGCCGTGCATTGTGGCACACACCATGTGGCCCATCCTCAGCCAAGCTTCCCTTTACACAAGAGCTACCCCCTCTTGTGAATTTAATCTTCCAATCCTTCTTCTTTAATCTGATTTACATATTTATAAATTTATGAATATATCATACTGCCTTTGTAAATTACATTAACAATGCTGTGCTGCATGTCATTTTTTTTTTGTTTGTTTAAATCTGCCGGTGATTATTTTAATCTTTTGGGGACATTTGCCTCTGAAAATCTGATGAAAGTGGCTCTCTCCTTCAAAAAAGTGCACATCTGCACAAAATTGTGTAAAATTTCAGACAGGCTCAGACACGCTGAAGTCTACCCATACACCTCTAGCAGTTAAGAAACCCTGTTTCAAGGCAGTGTTGATGATCTTAAATCTGGGTAAATTTCAGTTAAGGCCAGGAACAAGTGTGTTAATTGTGAGATGAGGAGAGCTTATTCCTCTTCTGTCTCCCACTAGGTGATGTTTGCTTTGCGGGAGCTGACGGGCTCGCTCTTGGCACTCATCGAGATGGTGGTGTACTGCTGTTTCTGTAATGAGCATTTCTCCTTCACGATGCTGCATTTCATTAAGGTAGGACCTCAGATAAAACTAGTGATAGCCGGACAGCCTTCAGTTGAGGCAAGAGAGCCAGGCAATATGCTGCTCTTCATAATCTGAATTGTTTTTCCTACTCATAAAAATTGTGTAACCTCATTTTTTAAAAATGAAGAATAAGAAAAGAACTCATAATCCTACTATTCAGTGATAAGCACCATGAACATTCTCTTATTCTGTCCTTTATTTTATTTACTATATCCTTTTATTTTCCATGAATGTATTTTAACATAATTGGGATTTTATTGTCTTTATGCTTTTGTGCCTTTTATTTTTTTATTTGACATAATAAGTATTTTCCCGTATCATTAGAAGTTATCTGTGATTATAATAATTCACTCTTTCATATACCGTAATTTACTTAAACATTCTCTTTCTAGTGATGCACATTTGCATAGCTCTCAATTTTTAACTAGTCATACTTCACTTTATAGTTAGTAACAATGGTATGGCAGCCATTATTGTGCAGAATGGTTTTTCTGTTTCAGATTATTTCCCCTGGCAACATTTTAAAAATCAAAAGTAGGTTTTTCTCACCTTCTGAAATAGTGATATAGTTAATTATGAAACTCTGATCAGTAATTACTGTTACTCATGTTGCACCTACTGGGTGCCAAGCACTATTCCAAGTATATATTTATTTAACTCACTTGATTCTCAAGTAGTTCTAAAAGGTAGATATACTATTATTATCACCATTTCATTGTTGAAGAAACTGAGACACAGAGTGACTAGCCCAGGGCCACAAACGAGCAAGTGGCAGAGTGGGAGTCTGAACCCAGGAAGTCTGGATCCAGGGCCTGTGCTCTTAACCACATTGTTTACTGCCTTTATAGTATTACTAGAGAAACATTTAAGCACACGTGTCATTTTTATTAGTTTTCAATCTTTAATTTCTAGTTACGTAGATACTACATTCTCTTTGTGAAAAATGTAAGCGTACAAATAAGACCAAGGTGTACTTTGACCACCACTAGTCATCCTTGTCTCCTCTTCTCCACTCTACTCCAGGGACCGATACTGTTACATTGGTATGTTTCCTTCAAGGCCTCTTTGCATGAATTTAGACTATTAGATTCTGCCCACAGAATCTCTACTATACCTCTTTCCTACACCAGTATTTGTAATGGTGATACATGTAGTGTTAACAAATAGCAGGTGATTAGTGGATTATGTCATTAGGCTCTTACTCAAATATGTTTTGCCCTCGGCCTTTTCTGTACAGACCTCTATCAGAGGTGATTAAGTTCTTCTCTTTGCTGTGTACTAATTATATGACCTTGGGCAATTTTCTTTTCTGCAAAATGGGAAAAAATATGTCTTGATTCACAGTCTGTGAAGATTTAATGAGGCATCTATGTATGTAAAGTGCTTACTTAGTACCACCTCTGGCACCTTGGCAGTGTGGTGTCATAAAACTGTCCTGTTCCCATATATTTGTACTATTCCATATAGTCATACCTCATATATGTATAAATACACAAAGGAATGTGAGTTTCGTGAACCTGGCTTTCTTCACTTCGTGTATCTTGGCCAATTTTTCTATTTCATAAGCTGACTTTTTAATGTGCTTCACTCAGCATATGTACCTCAGAGCATTCTCATTTGCGTTCTCGTAGCTACATCAGCATATGAGAAAAACAAAATAAAATATGTGTATATGAACGTGCCTCAGAAAATTCGTGGAAAATAGAATTAAAAGATAATGTGAATCTTTCCATGAATTTCTTGAAGCACCCTCGTATGTAAATTTGGGTTTGTTTAGTGACTTAAAATTCTCCCCTTTCCTTTCTTCCTCTCTCCTCCTTCCTAATTTCTTAGTAAAGTGTCACAGAGTATTGCATCTGGAAGGACCTTAAAGGTTGTTTATTTCAGTCCTCAGATTTAGCATTTGGAGAAACTGAGGCCTGGAGAGGGGAATTGACTTGCCCAAGGTCAGGCAGGTAGTGGTAGACCAGGGCTTGGCTTGAGCATTGTTGATTGACACTCCAATGTGCTTTCCACTGAAAAGTTACTGGAATTTTTATGCTTTTAAAAAACATTTCAGAACCAACTAGAAACAGCTCCACCCCATGAGTTAAAGAATACATTCCAAGTACTTCATGAGATATTGGTAAGTCATAAATGTTCTGATATGCTTGTATTTAGGTGTTTGTTAGTCAGCATGAGTTTATAAATAGTAAATTATATGCCTTTTATTGCTTTTCCATTCATTGGTCTGCATTTATTGAGTCCTCTTCATTTCGGTCATGTGCTTTCTACATTATTGATTTAGAGGTGAGCAGTAATAAAACTCTACCTCCTAGAATCTCACAGTTTAGTGAGGGAGCCAGGCAAGTACATAAGCAATTATAGTGCAGAGAGCGCAGGAGCAAGGGATGATGGTTAACCCTTCCCGCGGCCCTCCAGTGAATAAGTCGCCAGGCTGAGCACAGATGTTACCATGTTTAAGCTTCATGATAACCCTGAGAGGTAAATTGCTGGTTTTACACTTTATCAGATCTATGGACACCATGGATTGTATATGTACAACTGAAAATATTTCTTGAGGACCATGAAATTGTGAACTATAATCAGTTGTAGGGTGCTTTCTAACTTCAGAAACGTGAAAAGCAAGGGGAAAAATCAGTTATATTCAGCAAAATACAATATTATTGGAAACTGACATTTAGAGAGGTAGAGTGATTTGCCCAAAGCCACCCTTGGCAGGTCCAGGGTTTACAGCCAAGCCAGGATCTGAGCCCAGCAGCTGGTGCCAGAGCCCGTGTTCTCTGCCACACTCCTGAGGAGCTCAGAGTTGTAAGTAAATGGTGTCACTAGAAGAAGGAGGAGTGGACAATGAGTAGAGCTTGGGAAAAGAAACCCAGACCATATTGTGAGAGACTCCTGGTACAAGGGCCAGGGTGTGTGGGCTTTTTCCTGTAGGCCAGTGGCTGCACGCTGGGGGCCTTGGTGCCAAGTTCCACCTGTATGCTTGTTTTGTTTGACCCAAATTGTTTTTTGGTTTTTTGGTTTTTTTAAAATTTCTGGATTCCAGCCTATCTAGAAAAGTCAGATGCTCTGACCATGTAGGTCCCATTTGCTGCATGCAGCAGTCACCGAGAGCAGTGAAAGCATGCCCCTTCGATGGGCCATGTGGTCGCCAATTTCCCACTGCTCTCCCTGCTGCTGTTGTCTGACACTTAGCCCACTTGCTCATTCTGGTTGTCTCCCTGGCGTCTGTAGGCATTTAAGTTTGCAACCCCTACTGTCAACAGTGGGCAGCATGAAAGGGTTTTAAGCAGGAGAGTGGCATGACTCGATTTGTATTTTAGAAAGATTCTCCTGGCATCTGTTTTGAAAGACAGACTAAAGAAAGAAGCAAGTTTGGGGATTGGAAGACCATATAGGAGTCTGGCAGTAATCTGAGTGTGAAATAACGAGGCTTATACTAAGGAATAGGCTGAGGGTAGAAGGGGGCAAGGGACAGATCAAGAGGTATTCTGGAAAGAGAATCTATAGAATTTGGTGGCTGGTTATGAGCTAATGAGAGAGACTAGACCAGGGGAAGGACTGTGTTCTCTTTAGATCCTTAATATTTAATGTAGGCCTTGGCACAGAGTAAGCATTTAATAAATGGTTCTGAATAAGAAAACATGTCATGGATGCCATTTCTTAAAAGCCTATCTTTCTGTTCCCTTACCTCCTTTGGTCCTATTGCTTTTACAAACTTGGGAAGATTGTTGCTCCTCAAGGGTAGGCTTATGTATTGTTCATCTGTTTAACAATAAATCCCTATAGTTAACTACATTGTGCACAATCTGGTGCCAAGAACTAGAAATACAGCAACAAGTAAGATATAGATTCAGCTCTGTGTAGCCTGGCAAAAACTTTCACATCAGTTTTTAGAGCCTGTGTATATATAACAGCAAAACTTTAACACATTTTTAGTAAACAAGTTAGAGCATAAACCATTTGTCCTTAGGATCATGAAATATATGTCCTCATAACCCACAGATAACTTTAGATATAGTTGGTAAGAACATGCAGATAGGAAATGAATGGATCTTTAAATATTAATTGTTTTTCATCTTCATTTAAAATTTAAGATATGTTTGAGATATATGGCGGTGATAGAATATTTGTTTGTACTGGGTTTTGTTAAGTTACAAAATAATCTCTTGAGTAGAATTATAAAGAAGGCATCAGTAGCTATGACACAGGTTCCTTTTTTTATTTACCAACCTTTGTTTCCTTCCTTTCACAGGTCATTGAAGATCCCATACAAGTAGAGAGAGTCAAATTTGTGTTTGAGACAGAAAATGGATTACTAGGTAAGTATGCCTGGCCTTATGGACAATTGTCTATAGTAAATATGTAGATAGCCTGGTGTTCTGGCAGGTTCTGCCTCCTGCTGCTCTCCCCTGGCTTTTATCAGTGAGTACTACATTAGAAGTCCGGTTAGGCCATTCGGTTCCCTCATTCTAGTCAGGAGAATTAAAACCCAAAGATCTATTGCCTGGACACTCTTACTTATTTAGTAAGGTGTAGTGTGGGATCCTTTTACCAGATCAGGTAAGATTCAGGAGTGCTGTGGCTTTTTTCCAGCAAGCTAAATGCCACTTTCTGATGCAGGAAATCTTTCATCCACTCTACAGCCATTGGGGAGGAAAATAACTAAAATCTCAGACTCAGGATGTTGTCAGCCTTGTGAAATGTGATTGTCTTTTTACTGCAGTAAAAGTGTACCCAAATTTCCACTGACTACTCATAAAAGTTTTTGGCAGGGCTTTCTTATTCTGAAGGCTAAATTGGCTTTAATGAGCCATGTATTTTTTAAATGTTTAGTTAAAAATAGTCTTATCCAACTCTCACCAGCCACCTGTATTGCCAGTTAATCTGAGTCATTTTAGATTTTGCTATTAAGAGATTTAGGGCCTCCTTTTATTCAGAAAGGAGATTTAAGCTAAATTTTGTGCCTACAGCTCTCCAGGCCACCCCTTTAGAACAGTGTACTCAAGTCAGAGCAGCACCCAGTTTCTCTGGAACATAAAAACTATAAACTCCTCAAGAGCAGGGACCAAGTATTTGTTTTTAAATCCCTTAAACACAGAGTAGGAAATAGTTGTTGAACTGAACTAATACCATTAATTCTCATTTATCAAACTAAAAGTATTATAACTACTCTTCTCTAAGTAGCATGGTGTATGGAAAAGTTTGGAAGCTTCTAGTTGAATAATCAGCCAACATAAATTTTAGTTCTTTTTCAGTTCTCCTAAAAGTCAAATTTTCACCACCATGTATGTTTTTTGAACATATTTAAATAGTGTTTCCACCCATTAGAATTTGGAAGATTCTGTTGAGTCAGGTGCAAAACCATGCTTTTAGTTAAGTTGTTCCTTATCTGCTTATAAAAATAGTTTATAAACTTTCAGAACAAGAGAGCTTGTTATTAGTTGGACCCACGTTCAGTTTAGTGCTTTATTATTAAAGTGTCCCCTTCTCTTTCTTAGCTTTGATGCACCACAGTAATCATGTGGACAGCAGTCGCTGCTACCAGTGTGTCAAATTTCTTGTAACTCTTGCTCAAAAGTAAGTATTGACTTAAAATTCAGGGAGGAAGTGGTATTGTAATTACAAGTCAATGTGACCAGGAAAAAAATCTGTGTTGTTTTGGTACCTAGAGAGTCCAGCTCAGTCAGGGCATGCTTGCTTGGAATACAGAAACCTATTCAAGTGATCTCAAAAAACTATGAAGAAGGGAGTATTAAAAGAATAGCATATATTATGGAATCAAGAAGGAAAAAAAAGCTAAACCACCAGGCCTTGTGTCAGAAAGGCAGGAATCAAGGCAGGTTTGGGGACCTTGAGATCAAGAGTTCATGCATCTTCACCTTCATTAATATAACCCAGCCACCAACTCTTTCAGGCTTTAGGTCCCCAACTTCAAAATAGCCTCTCAGGAGACAAAGTCATGTCATCTGTAGCTCTTGAGCACATATGAACCATGTGTGCCATGGCACCATGCCTAGTACTTTGCCTGTATTATCTTATTTAATCTTTGTATCTACCTTATAAGGTTAGGTGCAGGTTTTAGTCATCACTCATAGGTGGGATATATGTAGAATCATAGAGCTAAGACTTGAACACAGGCTGATTGTCTTCAAAGGTTTTTTTTTTTTTTGACTGAGTAAAAATATACATAACATAAAATTTACCATTTTAACCATTAAGGGTTCAATTCAGTAGCATTAAGTACATTAACATTGTGCAACCATTACCACCTCCAGAACTCTTCATCTTTCAAAACTGAAACTCTACCCATTAAATACTAACTGCCCATTTCCCCTTTCCTTTCCCCCTGCCCCTGACAACCACCATTCTAATTTCTGTCTCCATGAATTTGACGACTGTAGGAACCTCATATATGTGGCATCATACAGTATATATCTTCACATGACTTGCTTATTTCACTTAGCATAATGTTTTTAAGGTCCTTCCACGTTATAGCATGTGTCAGAGTTTCCTTCCATTTCAAGGCTGAATACATCATTGTATGTATATATCACATTTTGTTTATCCATTTGTCTGTTGAGGGATGCTTGGAAAGCAGAGATTTTTAATGACAGAAGGAACCTCAGTGTTTTGCTGGTTTAGCTCCCTTATGTAGTACATGGGCAAACAAATGATCAGAGTGACTGTGAGATAATAACCCAAGGTTATGGAGCAGACTGCACTGCCATCACTGAGCCTCATGCTGGGCTTTCTTTACAGCTTATTTTATTTTTCTCTAGATTTTTGCTGATTTTTAGGCCCAGGGATTATCATCTTTGGATTTGTACTGGAGTAATGAGAAATCTGTTGGGCTTAATCTGCTGCATTTGAGCTTCCTAAACAGACATAAATTAGAGCCCAATTGAAATAACGCATGAACATGCATTATCCAGATGACATAGTATTATGGACACAGGTGGATATCATCTTGCCACAATTGTGGGTTCATTAATTAGACTTGATGTTGGCAGCATGTCATCATAAATATTTGCTTAAGAGTGGCATTTCCAAGTCTACATGGTGATGTCAGCAGATGCTCTGTCCAAATATCACTGTTTTTGTATGAACTTCTGCATGCTTCACGCATCCTCTTACACACTCAGTAATGGCAATATCACCCTCAGTACTATCTTCAAATATGAAGGACAGCTTTCTAGATGTGCAAATAAAAATGGAAAGAGAAGAAAGGGCTCCAAGTCTATAATTTAAAATTGTTTGTCCCATAACCTCATTCTTTCTTATTCAGATCACAAAAATTAAAAAACTAAATTGATTATATGGAGGTTTTATTAAATGTACAATTTGTTGTGAGTTTTTGGTTTTGTTTTCTTTGTTTTCCAGCTTTGAATTATAATAAAACTGAGTGGGTGAGATTTAGAGATAGATGAGAAACTTTTCACTATGCACCTACCTTTTACTCCCTTTTGAAGTTTAAATGTGAATGCACTACCTATCCAAAGTAGAAATGTAGTATAAAGACAACTGAGCTTTAAAGAAAGTGGCATTTGTGTTTTAAAATAAAAATCTATTGTAGATTAAACAAGTATATTTACAAAGAAAGCATTTGACTAATAAAAATCTCTTCAATCAGGTGTCCTGCTGCTAAAGAATACTTCAAGGAGAATTCCCATCACTGGAGTTGGGCTGTACAGTGGCTACAAAAGAAGGTCATTGAATTTTGAACTTTTCTAGCTGTGACATAAGAATCAATAACAACACATTTTATCAGGGAAAATCTCTTAAACCTAATTTGGAGACTGACCTCAAAGTATTTTCAGACTTCAAGCATTTCTTTAGGACAGTTGATACCTACTTGTATGCATTAAATTTGTGTCTTAATATACATGCATCTTAACTTTATAGGTGAAAAGGTAGGGGTGATTGTATAAGAAGCAGTATTTTACCAAGGTCTTGAGAGTAGCAATGAAATCTTCCATGAATCCCCTGATGTGATTGGAAGATCTGGGGAGACTTATATCCTGATTTGGATGATTTTTAGACTCTAATATGGTAAAAACAGTGGACTCATGGGGGTTGTCATCTCTGATGGCATTTTTGACCTTTCATCTCAGATGTCAGAACATTATTGGACACCACAGAGTAATGTCTCTAATGAAACGTCAACTGGAAAAACCTTTCAGCGAACCATTTCAGCTCAGGTGAGGGTCGCCTTTTGTTTTCATGTGGTTTGAAATCCCTTACATAGGATTCTTGGTATGTTTCTCAGAAATGCAGCCTCAGAGAAGAGAGGTATGGGTTGAAAATGAGAGCAAGCAGAAGAAACGGCTGAATTTCTTTGAAAAGACTGCAGATGGGTGTACACTTAAGCAAATCTGTGCAAATCATTTGCCCAGAAGGAAGTGGTACAGGTTGGTCAGCCTGGTCTCAGCAGGGGACAGAAGTTGGGGGGGGTGCTCTAGTGGCTGCCACGAAAGCTGCCAAAGGTCCAATGAAGGGTAGTCTTCTCTGGTGGTTGCTGCTGCCTCTGGACGACCCCTAACTTTTTCTTCTTGTGTTTAAATCTCCTGCAGGACACATTAGCATATGCCACAGCTTTGTTGAATGAAAAAGAGCAATCGGGAAGCAGCAATGGGTCAGAGAGCAGTCCTGCAAATGAAAACGGAGAGAGGCATTTGCAGCAGGTATACGTGTAGGACCTTTTCTCTGTGAAAGGGCAGCACCTACCCTTAAGCTTTCCAGAGAGATTCTCCATAATCCAGAGAAAAAAGATGCCTCCTCTGGAGTGTGCATCTAAAGAGACACCAGCTCTGAGCGCAATGTGAAATTAATACAAGGCTTTGAGGAGTCTATGGCTGGCCACTGACCAACTTGGAGGTAGTCATGATGAAGCCAGGCCACAGGTGTATTCTTTCCAGCTTGTTCACTACATTCGGCTGGGTTCCTAAGAGTCTCTCTTGCTTTCACCAGCCTTCCTAGAAATGTCGACCCTTTTAGGCAAGGCCTAATATACCTATTGAAATATACCTACTTGTCAGGGGAGTCAAAGAATCATTTTAAGCTTATTCTTTTTAAAAATAACATTTTTAATACTGATCACTGTAGTAGAAAAAGAAAGGAAATATGTATGGCACACCTACTATATGCAAAATACTGAGCTAAGTGTAGGAATGTGTATTACATCTTCTCCGCTGGTCTCTGGCCTCCCTAATGAGTCTCCTCGTAGCCCTGTCACAGTGCTTGGCCAGAGTTGGCCCCTGTGAATTGAGTGTTGCTGACGTAATACATGTCATTTTTTTTTAAATATCATCTTTTGGATCCTCATAACCACATGAGGCCTGCTGTTACCATGATTTTACTGAAGGGTAACAGGCTTATCGTGGTGATGTGACTTAACCCAATGTCACTCACAGCAATTTCCCTCATTACCTACTTTATTTGCAGAGAAAATAAAAGCTATCAGACGAGCTCCTGCAGCCACTGGTTCCCAAACTTACAGCCCCTGCGTCTGTCTTGTCCTCATTTCCTGTCCTGTGACAGTGGAGAAGTTTGCTTCCTCCCACCCGAGGCCTCTAGCCTCCATCCCTCCCATCTTAACAGAACTTTACGCTCCATTTCTCTCTCTCTCTCTGTTATCTTGAACTTTCCTTCTCTGCCAGATCCTTGCCAGTGCTGTTTCAGCACACTTAGTTCTGTCCCGTCCTCTTAAAAAAAGCCTCTCTTCTTCCCTCTTATCCCCTGCCCTTTACAGCCAAACCTCTCCAGAGAATGATCTAAGTTTACCTATCCCCATTCTCTTACCTTCGCTTATTCATCAGCCTCTTCTGCCTGCCTCCCTCCCCTTCTCTCCAGCTCAGCAGTGGGGGTGACAGGTGGCCTCCATTTTCCATCCGCATCCTAGGTGACTGCCCAGCAGTGTCTGACACTACTGGCTACTCCTCCCTCTTGGAAACTCTCTTCCAGGGCTTCCGTGACACTTCACTTTCCTAGTTTTCTCAAACCCTTCTGGCTGTTCTCCCTCAGTCTCCTTCCCAGTTCAGCCCCCTCTAGACCACCAGTAAATGTTCCTCATATCTCCATCCCATGTCTTCTGCCCCCACGCAGCACTTTCTCATTCACACCCACAACCTTGATTCTTCTGAGTTCCAGGCATGAACTTCCAGCTCTCTTGTTCTTGACATCTCCACTTGATATGTCTCAGGGACACTTCAAACTCTTGAGTTACATACCCAGTCCCTCCTCACCTCCCCCACTGACGCTGGTACTCCATCAGTGTACTTTATCTCATAAGTAGCACCCTTGTGACCTGAGCGTCATCCCGGACAGCTCCCTCACGCTATAGTCAGTGGACCTTTAAACATATGTCAGATTGACCCAATAAACAGTGCTCATCCATCTCTTCCATCTGCCATGAGCACTTGAAGTCTCCTGAGTCCTGGGTCTCTGTAAGAACCCTTGCATCCACTCTTGCTTCTCTCTAGGTTGCTTGTTTAAACCTTTCAATGGCTTTCCTTTGCTGTTAGGATAAAAGCCAAAATCCTCTTCACAGTCCTGCTTGATTGGGCACCCCCACACCTCTCCCCACATTTTCTGAATTTTAGTTTATCAAACATACCTTGTTTCTTCTACCTCAGGCCCTTCCCACTTACCCTAATTCCTACTCAGCTTACGTAAGTCACCTGCCCCTCCCCCGCCCCACCTCCAGCCAGATCAGTCCCACGGCACATGATAGGTATTCAGAACTGTTCAGTGATAAACCAAAGGCCACACTGTTGGTGACAGAGGCAGAATTCAGACCCAGGAATGACCCAGAGCCCATCTGGCAGGGACAGTTCAGAGAGGCAAGCACAGTACCCCACATGCATGGGCATCAGCAGTGGCTCACTCAGGTCTAACGAGAGCCTGCCTGCACTGGTGCAGAGCAGCACTGTGACTTTATGTAAGTCACTGGGTTGTTCCAATGACTAAACGAAGTCATAGAAATGAAAGTGTTTTGCATATTCATGAATCCCCATCAGATAGGTGTAATAGTTATTAGTATGTTTCATTACCCTTTAATAAACATTGAATTAAGTTGCTAGGTAAGGACGTGTTTAAATTACAGAATGAAAGTAAAAGCCAGTCAGTGTAGAAACGTTTTTTCCTCTCACTTAAACTGTCTGAACTTTAACTTCCTTTTCTTTTTCACAGGGTTCAGAATCCCCCATGATGATTGGCGAGCTAAGAAGTGACCTTGACGATGTCGATCCTTAGAGGAGCATGCCCAGCACCGGAGGAGGAGTCGAGTCACAGTACTGGATGCTCAGCAACCTTTTGGACCCAGAATCTCGTCCTTGAGACCTTTAAAAGAGCCTGGAGATTGGACTGGGAGAGCTGACATGACTCTGGAGGACCGTGCATTTGACGAGAGCGTTCTTTGGCCACTAGAAAGTTTGGGAGCCGTTTGGCAGTGGGAGATCTCCCAGCGTGGGGATCAGCTGTCCAGGGCCACAGTCCGTATGTGGATTAACATTCTTTGTGGAGATTTTAGGAAATAAAGCTGGTGGCAGACTTTTTTGTTAAATGAACATTCAAGAGTGAGGGTAAAGCTATTGCTTTCTCTATGATGCTACAAAAGAAATTCATTTGGTTTTTATATTTTAAGAAAAAAAAATGCAAGCTGCCTTTAGATATGTGGGGGCAAATTTTAAATCTTCAGTAACACTGAATAGGAATATCCAATTTAAAATGGTGTAAAGATATGTGATAAAATTTCTTTTCATTGTAAAATAGTAGTTAAAGAATTCAGTTTACACAGACCTTTGTATTTAATATGTCTCCTATTTGTATAGATTTTCGGATGGGTCTGGATGAGAGCCCTGGGCATAAGCTTGGATCTTAAGGAAATGTTACCAGGATCAAAAATTGGGAAATTATTAAGCTCTTTAAGGTATTTTTCATATATAATTGAGATTGAAAAGAGCAATAAAAAAATGCGCTGTTTTCTCCGGAAATACAGGGTGCATTCTTTGACATCAGTCACTAAAGAAGTTATAAGTTGTTCCCAAAACAAATTTTAAAAACAGGAAAATAAAAAGCACTTTAAGATATAATTTTATTGAGCTTGACTTTATAAAATTATCTTTTTAAGGCTTGGAGACATATTGAATAAACTGTAGTCTTAAGTCATGTGATCTGCAATCATTTGCTTTTGCTTAAAACATAATTACTGAAACCCATGGTATTAGTTGTATATGAAGTTAAATTTTTGGAGTTGGGAGACATTGCTTTGTGAGTTTCATAGTAACTTTAATGCAGAGAAGGAATTTAAGACTTTGTTTCTCCTCAGCAAGACTAATTAACACAAAAAGATAGGCAAGGTTTAACATTTATTTTCCCAGAAATAACTAGAAGGAAGTTGAACGATCATCCTGGTAGTTGTATTCCCCAAGTATAGTACCGTTCGCTCACTTTAGAAACCAGCTCTTTTTTGGCCAGGGGGAGGGGGAAAGGGGTATTACACCAACACATTTCATATATTTTGTAAATTTTGTATCTTGAGTTGCTCGCACACATTTTCAGCCCTGTTTTGCCTTTAGTTACATGTTCTGCCTTATTTTCAACTCGCCATGCACAGAACTAGGAGAGCCTTAGGAAGTGCCAGGTTGTCACTGTCAGTTGCCAAGTCAAAGAGGCGCAGCCAGCTCCAAAGTGCCTTTTTGGTTGCTTTTGCATTTTGCATGGACACGTGCCAGGGAAGACAGCTTCTAATTGCTGTACACGTTCAATAACCCAGTCATTTCACTCTTCAACTGTGGAAGATGCTGTGCAGTCAGGCTGCAGCTTGTAATTCTGTAACTTAACGGCAGGCTAGTGATGGCTTTTGTCAGCTACACTGAGAAGATGGAAGGGCCAGCATTTAAGAGCAGAGCTGGCCCTCGGAGAAATGGACAGAGGAGACTGGCACATTGTATATGGTTCCAGTGTTCTTGCAATTTTGAATGTGATGTTCTAAGATTGATTTCAAGTACACAAATACTCCATGTGCTATTGTTTCCCCTACCCACCCTCACCTCACTACCCCATTCCTCACGGAAAGATTGTGTGGGACATGACATTGAAATGCTGGTGATGATAGGTGTTGGGATATCATCGCTGGCAACTGCACTCTCAGGAGCCCAAATTCAGGAGTGAAATTGCCACTTCTAGTCCCTTTATTTCCTATGGAAACGACGCCTCCACACCCCAGCACCTGCTGTCCTCACTGTAAAGCTTCGTCAGGATCGCCCGTCACTATGGTGTGTTATACGCCTTGGTTAGTTTTGCTTACATTGTTGCTGCAATGAACATCGTTTTCACTTTGCCAGTGACCACTTGATTTCCAATGGCTGCAGTCAATGAACCTGCTGATGACTTTTTTTAATGTAGTACAACCAAGTGACAATTATGACAGGCTTGCCTTGGAAGAGTTGTCATTTTTACTGCCAATATTTTGGATGAAGATGTTTTTATAAATCTTTCAAAATGGTCTGCAAATCAAGCAGGAATTGCACAATTAACTCAATGCTGTGTGTTTTCAAGAAGCTCCCTTAGTGAAGGCCTATCTCAGGATGGCCGATTCCGCCCATTACAGGCATCCCAGGAAAGAAAGCAAACGAGCATCCCGACGGGCATCCACCCATGACTTCTCCTGGAGCACTCACATGGTCACTGACAACTAGAATAAATTTTAGGACCTAGAGCACCATGTCATCAGACTTACCCTGTCTTGCCCCACTCTCCCTGCTAACATTGAGGTGTGTGCAGTTACTTTTTGAGCTTGGAACAAGCAGACTGGAATTTTCCTCTGCTACCTCTTGTGTACAGAATCTTGTAAAATTTCAAAAGGAAGTAGATAAACTAGGGAAGAATCTTAATTCTAAATGTGGTTCATGCGTGGCAGAGTTCTTAGCTTCTAAAAACATAAAATAAATTTTTCAAAAATGTAGAGTTGGAGCCTCATCGACATTTTTCTCCATATATCAGATTATGGCCATAGGGTGGGGGGTGGCACCATGGGCCTGTGGCCTGGTGCTGAACAGTGCTGTGATTCCTTTTACTACTTTACTCTGATGGTGTGGATGTGGTCCACTCTTTAATGGGGCCTATGGGTCTTCTAAGCCTTTTGCTGTTCTTTCCTCTGGATAGCCTGACCGTTTTAGGGTTCATATGCAGAACTTGGACAGGGATGCCAAACTCAGGCTGATGGCCTACAGACATTTCCGCCATTGCTTTCAGTTCTCCCAAGCAGTCCCCAGGATGAATCACATCCCCTGGTCGAGCTGGGTGACTTGCTAGACACCACTTGCCCAGTCTGTCTCATTCCTAGTGTCCTGTGTTGCTCACTGGGCCCCCTTCCTTGTTTGCTAGTTCATATCTTCTTCCTCCACCTGTAGGCCATGTGCATTCCTCCCGCTCCTGGTGACCATCTGCCAACCATCTGCAAGAACCAAGTTGTTCACTTCTCTCAAGTCACAGAGCTGTCAGGGTATGGATATCTAACCAACTGACACTTGATGCTGTGCCAGAGGGGGCATGTAGGATTGCATAGCAGGCCTAGGTGCCAGTGGGCATAGATACACAGTTCTGACATTCAAGCCATTAGCATCTGTCAGCTCTTGAATGCTTTCCATGTATACCACTAAAGTGTCAGAAAATACAGTTTGGGAGGATTTGTGCCTTTGCAGGCAGATCCCTTATTTATGACTTGGGCTGTGTAGAGACAGACCTTGCTTAAGACAGCTACTTGTCACCCTCAGAGGGGGATAACATCCACATTGAATGGGATAATTATACTTTGCAAATCAGAAAGAGAGCTAAAGCTGTTCTTAATTTCAAATCGTGAACAACAATCATGGACATGGCAGTGACTCATTATAAAAGCATTTGGCACTCATATACCTAACTTATTCCATAAACATTCACTCTGTGCCAGGTACTGGGGAGAGAACGATGAAAAGGGCATTGGGAGCTCAGAGCTCGGTGGTGGACATGAGCAACAGAGCATCTAGAATGCTGTAAGGGGACAGAGGGCCAAGCAGGAGGCACCCTAACTGTTGGGAACTCAGGGAAGCTACAGGAAGACGTTCATTTCATTCCTAGGACAGGCACAAGGAATAAGTTCTCATTACCAGTACAGTCACCCCTCGGTATCCGAGGGGGGTTGGTTCCAGAACCCCCTCAATCCCATGGATACCAAAATCCAGGGATGCTCAAGTCCCTCGTGTAAAATGGCTTAGTATTTGCATATAACCTATGCACACCCTCCCATGTACTTTAAATCATCTGTAGATTATTTATAATATTCAAAACAATATAAATACCATGTAAATAGTTGTTAAACACCATATTTTTTTTTATTTGTATTATTATTATTGTATTTTTTTTTCTGAATGTTTTCAGTCCGAGGTTGGTTGAATACATGGATGCACAACCTGCAGATATGAGGGCTGACTGTACTCATCAAATACTTGGTTTACTGAACCATTCAACAAAGTTATCAAGTGCCTGGTATAAGCAGGCACCATCAAATCTGGGCAAGAGCCATGACAAAATTGTTTTTATTTTTAAAAGTCACCATATAATAAAAATGTTACAAAATCCAGAATAAATATCTTCAAGTTACAAAAGCAAAACAGAGGCGTAGAAAAGCTTCTTGCTATAAAAAGGCAACAGAGAAAACAGACCAAAAAGGTAGACTCATGCTTGTTTGCTTATTCAGGTGGGGGCCAGGGGCAATGCTCAAGGAGGGACAGTCACGCTCTCCCCCACCCCCATCAGAGGCCTCTCTACCCTAGTCACAGTCCGTGCCCACAGAGCAGCAGCCTGGCAGCAAGCAGGGTGAGGCAGAGGCTCTCACTCGCCATGCTTCCTTGGGTCTGCTCCCTTTCCCAGCCTCACTGTGACCTGTGAAAACAGGACGTCCCACCTGGTAAAGTAAAAAGCGGCTTGGCCTCGGAGCCAGCCTGATGTTGGTTCCTGGCAACTCCCTGCTGCCTGCCATGTGAACTTGGCAGGCATGCCCGTGTAGTTCCCAATTTCTTCCTCCATAAAGTGGGGGTGCCACCATGAACTGTGCAGAGTAGCAGAGAGGCTTGGTGAGATGGTGCCTGTACCATGCGACCTTCCACTGCAACTGAAAAGTAGCTCCAGTGACAGCTCACTGCAGGCCGACGCTGGGTGACCAGCAAAACCTGGAACAGCAGAGCAGGGCAGCTGGGAGAGACAAAGGCCTGGCCCCATGATCACCTGGGACACGTCTGTCTCCAGCTGGATCTCGTCCCCCAACCCCCGGAGAGGTGTGGAAAACTGATCCCCCATTCATCAGGGAACCCAGGGTGCTTCTCCAAAGTGATGAGGAGGTGAAGACCATCAGCACCTTCCACCCCCACTTTCCCTTGCAGCCCCCAGTGCCTTCCATCCTGCCCATGGGAAGAATACTGTCCACGTGGAGACTCTAGGACTGAATCCCTGTTACATGGCAAGAGCTCAGTGAAAGGTAACTCTGCCCACAAGTGTTGGCATGCTGGGAGCAGCTGACAGGAGCTGAGCACAGTTTCACCCATTTTAATAGTGGAACACCAGGCAGAGGCCCCACAGTGAGGCAGGGGGCTTCCAGCACCTTCACCCAAGGAGGGGGTGATCAGGGTGAGATATCAAGTTGTCCTGTGCAAGGAGCCCACCCTGGCAGGTAGAGCTATCTCTGTCCCCTCAGGCTCAGGCCATGGAGGACCATCTCAAAGCCCAGGCCCTGAGCCCTCCCTAGGTACCTGTCCTGGGAAGGGGCTGTCACTGGAGCTCTTGTGAGGCCTGCTCCGAGGGCCAGCTCCGGCAGCAGATGGCAGTGGCTGCCGTGGCCTCCTCACTGGTCCTGCCTCCTGTACCGACATTCCGGACCCTCACCACACATGTGTTGTCCGTGATGTAGGCCCCCAGGATGTGGGAAGCCCCCAGGAGCGCACTGCGACCGGTCAGGGTCCAGCCCTCCTCACAGGCCACGGTGACCTGCCAGTGCCAGGGAGAAGAAGAAAGCACATGTCCAGCAGGCCTGGGCCAGGCCCCCCAAGCCACCTGGACTTCACGCCTCCCTCCCAACAATGCTCCATGGGGTCAAGTGCGACGGCTCTCATTCGGAGCCCACTTGGACCACAGTTCTGGAGCTCCTGCCCCAGAGGCTCTGCATCCATCACTGACCAGACCACACACTCCTGCTTCAAAGCCTCACCTTCAGGGGCGCTGGGGCACAGACCGATGTTTGACACACCAATGCCAAACTCCTCATCTTCCCTGCAAATTGACATCTCCTACAGCCTTCTCCATCCCACTTAATGGCAACGCCATCTGTCCCGTAGCTCAACAAAAACTTTGAACCACCCTCTAGTCCTCACATCCACATCACCCACCAGGTCTGTGGCTCCTCCCTCAGATGCCAGTATCCCCCAGGACATGTCCCGCCTGGCCTGAGCCCCCACCTAGCCTTGACTGTTGGAGCAGCTGTGCCTCTCGTCTCCAGCTTCAGCCTGTTCCCCCCCCCCAACACACACACAGTGTCTTCTCAGCTCGGCAGCCAGAATGAGCCTGTTTTAACCCAGGCCAGATCACGCTCCCACTGGGCTCAGAACCCTACGTGGCTCCCAGCTCACTTGGGCAAAAACCAGAGTCCCGACTGTGGACCTCAGGCCCCACATGACCTGGCCCTGGCCCCCTCTCTGAGCCCCCCTCTCATGCTAGCTCCGCTCCCACCTCACTGGTCTCCTGGCTCTTCCTGGCACCCTCTGGGCACACTCCCACCTCAGGGCCTTGCTCTGGCTGTTCCCTCTACCAGGAACACTGTTCCCTGGGATGTCCTCATGGCTCATTTCCCCACCTCCTCAGCAAGGCCTCACCTGGCCTCTCCCCTGCCCTCTTGCCATTCCTTTCCCTGCCTTTTCTCCAACACATCTTTTCAGTACTGTACAATTTACTTATTTTGTTTACTGTCCTTCTTGCCCAGTAGAATGGATGCCCCAGAAGGGAAAAACAGAGACGTTTGGTGGGTTTGTGTCCCCAACGCCTGGAATAGTGCCTGGAACGTGGCAGTACTCGGGGCATGCTGAGCAAGGGGACCTGGAACAGTCCTTGACCTCAAGGAATGCACCATCCAGACCACAATGACCACATCTGGCACATTTAAAAACCTAGTCTGAGTTCATTTAAGAGTGGACTCCCTATGGCTTCCTTTTAAGAAGCTCCTACAGGTCATAAAAAGGAGAGTTAAAGAGTCTGCACTCAGGTCTCCGAAGGCTCCCTGGCAAGAGCGTCATCCTCTTGGCAGGGCCCTTCCTTGCCTTGCTGGCCATGCTAAATGCTCCTCAACCTACAGCACTCAGCTTGGTTGTCCCCTCCTCTGGGTCATCATGGCTGAGTCAGCTCTGTCCCCAGCGACCAGTGGGAGCTCCTGGCCCCAAGCAGCCTCCCAGCAGATTTGTTAAATGGATCAATCCAGAAGTGCATGGGTATTGCAACTCTGTATGCCATATTTATGCATAATCTCTGCAAAGGGGAGCTGGGTGCCCAGGTAGTAATCCTTACTAATCTGGACAAAAGCAAAAATAAACCCAGCCACACACACACATGCTATGCACACAATGGCAAAAGCTACCCACAGCATCTGCCCCACAAACCAGCACTCTGATGCAGGACGGGATGGTGGTAGCACAAACACTGACCCAGAGAACTTGCACAGGACAGACACAGGCCACCCCCAGTACCAGGGGCCCAGCCACCCCCACACCCCTTCACCTGCTGTGCAGGGTCCAGGATCCCGTGCTCCTTGACTTTGCACTCCAGCCCCGGGGCATGGCAGCAGGAAGCATGGACGCTGGCCTCCTTGTGGCCGACACACCACTCGGGCTGACCTCGTCGCCTCGGCATAGGCCACCTGTGGGTGCCAATGTCCTCCGCCTCCCA